AGAAAGACAGAGAAAGACAGAGAAACAGAAAGTGAGAAATCAGCCCCCAGGGGGGATGACCACGCTGCAGTCCCTTCTCCTCTCAAGATCTTGGGCATGCATGCACATGCGCCCGGCGTGAGTTCAACTACCGGGTTCGGGACTTGAACCGCAGTCAACTACATGGTAGTTCAGCGACATAGTCATTATGCTAACTGCTGGTCCCAACAAATTTCAACTGTACAGGTATCTTACAAAATTAAATTTCTATCTAATGATCTTATTTATTTATTTAAGGAGAAAGAGGGAGAAAGAAAGACATTCCTGTCAGCGTCTCACCATATCATAATCCCCATCTATGTTTCATGCTTTTTCACCTCTTTTGATCAGTTAGCATGCTCTTATCTCTCAGTCATAAGCTCAATTTTTACTTTTTGGGTTTTAGTTAGTTAGTTTTTGCTACAGGGTGTGTGCACTTGCCAGAAAGAGAGAGAGAGAATGAGAAATCATTCCCTGGGGATGACAATGCCACAACCTGTTCTTCTCTATTCTCCTTTCAGGATTTTGGGCACACACGCACACATACCCAGTGTGATTTTCAAGCCACGGTGTTTAGGTCTTGAACCATATAGTTGGCCATATGGAATCCAGTGAGCTAATCTCTCTGCAATCTGCTGGCCCCATAACCCTGATTATTTCAAAGAATTATGTATTCAATTTTATTATTATTATTATTATTATTATTATTATTTGCTATAGGGCACAGGTGCTCACCAGAGAGCTAGAGAAAGAGAGTGAAAAAGCTGCCAGGTTCGGGGCTTGAGCAACAGTTGGCCATCTGGGAGTCTAGTGCCTTAACTACCATGCTACCTGCTGGCCCCTACCCTAATTTTTTTTCTTAAATTGATCTATTTCTTACATGGAGTGGACCTTAACAGAGTCTTCACATTGCTATCTACACCCAGACTCAGCCTAAATTGTGGGTTCATGCACATACTTAGAGTGCACAAGGAGACTCTAAGATGCAAACTTGGGACCTTCTAATGTGGGTCCAGCATTGTAGAGCATTGCGTGTCTGTCACATCATCATCTGGCCCCCAGAAAGTCTCAACTCTTCCCAGCCTTCAGAGTCAGGACAGATCCCTTTCTAGAACTCCAGCATTTCCCAATAAATCTGGTGAGGAATTATCTCTATCCGTCCGCCTTTATAGGACTTCCCTGTCTTCCAATGGAACCACTGCCTTCTGCTTTATAGTATGAATCTTTAGGAAGCTATTGATCATCATAGCTAAGAGTGAGAACTCAAGAATCATACAAGTTCAAGTCCTGCTAATATCCTGACTGTGGATCTTGGGCCTATGTTTAAACCTCTCTTAGCTCTGATTTCATTCTTTATAATATGGAGATGATTATATAACCTACCTCATAGGATTGCTGTAATAATCTAATACATTAAAATGCTTTTAAAGATAACAATACCTGGTGAGTGCTCAATAAACATAAGCTCCCATCAATACTCTAATTTATCATCATCATTATTTGCTATAGAAGTGCTCCCACTGATAATTGGGTGACCCAGAGAGTTATCTAATCTCTCCAAGTTTTTGTATTCTTATCTGTGCTAAACTGTATTTTCTTTGTTATCGTTATTCATTGATGCATACCAAATTATCCCCAAACTTAGTGGCTTTGAAACTGCTATTATCTCCTAAACCTTATGGGTCAGGAATCTGGGTGTGGCTTACAGGGTCCTGGCTCAACATCTCTCAGAAGGCTGTGATCAAGGTGTCTCTGGAGGCCATAGGCATTTTAAGGCTCAATGAAAGAAGAATTTGCTTCTCAATTCATGCACTGAATTGTTGGCAGGATTCAGTTCCTCTCAAACTGTTGGTCTAGGGCCTTGGTTCCTTTCTGGTTGTTAGTCAGAGCCCACTCTCACGTTCTTAGCATGTGGCCCTCTCTACAGGGCAATTTACCACACTGCATTTCTTCTTCAAGGAAGGCAAGGGGATGAGAGAGAGAAAGAGAGAGAACATGGTCTCAGTGGGCTTCTGACCTACAGAACTGTAGGATAATAAATTGGTGTGGTTTTGAGCTGTTACTTTTGTGGTTATTTGTTACAATAGCAGAAATAAACTAACATAAGATCTATGCTTAACTTTTTCCTAAGACTCAAATATATTGATTTAAGAACTGTGTAGCACACTAGAATAAATTCAGCATCTTAAAGTTAGCAATTTTAAATTATGTCAAGGCATAAATCAATGTCTTCCTTACATTTCTATTATTAAATTCTTTAGAACCAAGGCCAGCCAGTAGAATAGTAGTTGAGGCAGCTAGACCCCACACGGCCGACTATGTGGTTTGAATCCCAGATCTGGTGGCTTAAAAAACAAGTTAGGTTGTGTGTGTGCTCAAAATCCCAAAAGAAAGAAGAACTGGAGAAAGGAGAAGCATGACGATGACCCCGGATAGGGGTGGGGGTGGGCGTGCTTTCTCACTTTCTTTCTCTGTCTCTCTCCAGAGAACATACACATCCTCTGGCAAATATTTAAAAGAACGAAAGAAAAAAGGTTCTTTAGAACTGAAAAGTTGCTGAAAGGCTAAAAGAAGATATATTATTATAAAATTATTTTTCATCTTTTCTTTATAATTAAAAGTAAAGAAATACTAAGTTTTTTTCTCCTTTAGGGTTTTATAGTTAATGAATGAATTCACTTACTTTTTGCTAACATTTAAGCCCACAGTCAAGTTCTAATAAAACTCTTTCTTAATATATCAGCAGAAATACATAAATTATAGATTTAAAACAATAAATGTGCCTTAGCTGTTAACTACTTGTCTTTGAACTATTAACTCATTAGTTCCCAGACAACAAAGGTCATGCCTGTTTTCTGTTTTATTTACATTTTTATCAACACTGCTTAGCAATACTCCTGTACCCTTTTGTTAAAAGTAAGTATTTTTTAAAAGGATTATTTATTTACTTATTTACTATTATTCTTCTTTAATTTGACCAGAGAGAGACAAAAAGAGAGGGAAAGTAAGAAAGCAAGTCACTGGGTCTGGGACTCGAACTGTGGTCAGTCATGTGGAAGTCCAACACCTTAACCACCATACCACCTGCTAGGGTCAAAAATAAGTATTCTTAATCCAAGTATAAAAAACTGGAAATAAAGCTTCCCTGAAACCTCAGTTTACTAGCTTTCTGGAAAACTAAAGTATTTCGTATCTAAACGTTAAACACTAAGACCAAAAAATTATTTTAAGCATTTTCAACAGAAATGATATACACGTTTTCTTGCATTCTTAATCAGATTCATTAGACAGTTTAAGTATCTATGAACATCATGTGACATACATGAGAGTTAAGCACAGTGCAACCGTAGGCAACTTGAGAAGCACAACATGCTACTTTGCTTCAGAATTGCTCAGTTAAAGATTTATTCCTCTTCAAAGAGATTTTCTTACTCTCTAGAAAAGCAGTATCCAATAGAAATATAATGGGAATCACAACTGGAATTTTAAATACACCTGTTCCCATTTTACTATGTGTCATCACTATAAAATGAATGAAATACATTACATTTTTTGCAAACTATGTCTTGGAATGCCAATGTGTTTATTTAGAACAGACTTCAACTCAGTCTTGCCACATTTCAGGCACCAGTAGCCACTATGCATTTCTAGAAAATCTCCCCTCCTGTCTATGAGTGAACTATCACATATCTCATCACCTTCTAGTTCTCACTCTATCTCATTTGTACTATAGATTCACATGGTCAGATGGACTTCCAATAATTCAGTGTAGTTTTATCATCATCCTCCTCGGGCACATTTTTTCCAAGATCTCCTAAAATGTACAGTAGTCAACATTCCAGATATGTGCCGCTAAGCCATACGTCTTTAGCATAACTCATTCGGACAATATTAGAGTTGATTAATTTTCTTCCATCATGTCTATAATGTTTCATATTTTAACAACGATGTCCTGTAGGGTAATTCTTGAAATAAAAACACAAGCAAGAAAAAAACACTTTTCTCAAATACTGCTTCTACAGGACAAGTTCTCTCCAACGTTTAGCAAGAGAGCTGCTGTGGGATGAGAGCTCCCTGGGATGGGATAGACTGGGTAGGGGGTGTCGGGAGAGTGGGTAGACAAGATCTGAAGAGTTAACGCTTCACTACATGTATGTGCAGCCCTCTTTACCTGTCTTCATTCAAACCTGAAAACCAACCCACCGGACAGATGCGGTGTGTTACAGAATAAGGCAGGACGATTCTCAACGCCGGCTACATCTAACTGCCTGGTCACTGTTCTTCCCGCAGATCTCACGCCCAGATATTCTGACTTGATTTCCCAGGGATGGGTGACCAGGCTGCCCATGTTCCTAAGAGTTACTGGGGAGATCTGAAGCATCTCTGGGACCGAGACCCTGCTGCCAAATGCTCGTTGCTCAGACTGTGCGAGCGCTCCAGCCTGCTCCAAAGTCTCTCCCGCGCAGCCTGGCAGGGAGGACGACTGTCCGAATGGGCTCCCTGCCTTCCTGAGCCTGCAGAGGTCAACGCGCCACCCCTCCAGGGCACACTGGCTAGCAGGAGGCAGGTCTCCACGCGCCGCACAAATGTCCCTGCCCCGACAAAGCCGCCGGACCAAGGGCTCCCTTCCCCAGGAGGCCATCCCACTACAGGCACCCCCCTCCCTGGGCGAACGAGGAACCCCCGAGGTGCGAGGCGCCCGGCCGCCACTTGGCGGCGCGTGTCCGGAGGCCCGTAGGCGGCCTCCGCAGGCAGGAAAACCCTACGCTCCTCAGCGCCGGTTTCCCCCCGGGCCCCTTGACACTGCAGCCTCTCCACGCGCGGCCTCCGACCCGAAGCTGACCGATTCGTGACTCTCCTGCCATACGGACTTCTCCGAAGGGCCAAACGACCAATCACCGCGCGCGGGGTGTCCTCTTCGGCTTTTCGGCTCTTCGGCGCTTCGGCGCTGCAGCCCCTCGCCCGCCGTTGCTGGGCCCTTCCGGGCCGGCCGCAGCGCGCCGAAGCGCCATTCTCTCGTTGGTATAATGTCCCCTTTTTTTGTCAGCCACTTCCGGGTCTTGCGTCGCTCCGGAAGCTCGCGATTCCGGAAGCCTGGGTATCTCAGTGTCTGCTAGGAAAAGCCAAGCTTTCCAGAAAATGTTTCAGGAAAAGTTACGTGGAGCGCGGGCATCTCGCAGACTCCTAAGGTCAGTGTCTGCGGGAGAGAGCTGGAGCGCAGCCCCGAGGTCTCGTTTGCAGTTGGGAGGTCGTGGGGTTTCACGACCTTGGAAGTGTCGCCCTTTGCTTGAGTTTTCCTGTTTATTGGCTTCCTGTCTTGCTGAGGCAAATAACAGTCTTTGATTTCGGGAAAGGCAATGAAGCGAACCTAGACTCTTGAAATAGTCTTAGGATTGCGCTATTAAAAAGGACGCAAAGTAAACCCCTGTAGGCTCCATGAAGTGACTTTCTAGGGACGAACTGAAAAAAAATTTTGTTCACACTCGCCGGCCGTGTAGATTTACTTTTCACGAATAATTTTAAGAATCATTCAGGGTTCAAGCTTTATTGAATCCCTTACTCGTGTAAGGGTTGTATTTATTACCAAAAAAAAAAAAAAAGTATGCTTAACATTATTGAAAGCCCATTCACTTAAAAGCAGTTTCGGTTTTCTTAAGAAGAGGTATAGAGATTTTTCCTTTATAAAGCTTGTGTTTGTTATATTTTACATCGATTTCTGATGAGAAATCTGAGATTGTGAGAATCGCTAGCATTTTTCATCTGAGTCCTTAAATTGAAAGTCGTCCTTTGTTTACTTGATTTTTTTATTTAGATGCCATAGTCCAAACATCCAACATTTAGTTAAAGGGATTTTCACAGAATGAGACTTAAGTTCAGTGTTTGAAGTCTAACATGGTCTTTTATTCTTCTGTGATGCCATTTGAAAATTTATTTTCTTGACTTTCAGCCAGTAACAGGGAGGTTGGGGCTTCCTCCACATCACTACTTTTAGCTTAAACACCTTACCCTAATGATTACTCTTGAACAGAAAGAGTTTAGTAAGGTTGATTTTTCTTTTCTTTTTTAACTTCTTTGATCTCCCTAGTATTAGCAATAACTGATATCAAAGTTAAATGATCTTGAGCCAGAAAGAGATTAGAAAGAAGAGAGATAGTGGAATTA